GGATGCAGAGTGCTGACAAGGAGAAACTAGACCTCGCTGAAGAGACAGCAATTTTTGTGAGACAGCAAAAGGGACACTAAAGATGCATGCACGACGTGCAATTTAAACCCTATTCCAATGTTTAACTTTCCTTTCAGGGAAAAACAATCATATCATGTGTAAACTGTGGAACTGACAAGCAAAGTCATGCTGGTTAATTAGAGACTCCAGAATCCTTCAAAGAAAAAGAAGTAGATTGCGAACAGCCTGCTGATATTTACCAACCCAACTGGTCTATGACACGTTAAACAATAAGAAAGAGAGGGAACAGCTCTCACACTGCTGAGTCTAGCTTTCTGTGGACACAGCTCTAGCTCACTACTCTGGAGACAATCTGTGTCCGGTTTCTTTATAATGCATTTTAAGCAGAGTGAATATCAGTGTACACAGTTAATGTATGCTGATATGCATCTGCACGTGCTCAGCATAAAGAAGGCAAGCCATTTAGGTCCACTAATGTTTTGGCTTTGAATATTTATCATTTAAAAATAGTATAAGAGAAATCTAAAATAAGGAAAACTGTATCTTAGTTGTGGTGTATTTTGACTTTTCAGTAAAGCAGATTCCTTAAGAGAAAAGCATGCAAGCAGCATGTGTGCTGAATGAACAGCATATTTCTGCAGTGCTGCAGTGCCCTGTGCTAGGGAGGAGGGAGTGGTTTTTCCCGCGCAGGTGAAGGAAGATTTTGATGCTCACAGGAGCTAAAGTCTCAGGCGTGGTGCTGCTGGACAGACCTTCTGTCACTGATATTGAGTATGAGGTGAGCGTGTAGGCAGGGGAATATGCGTGGGTGAAAAGCATACCCTCTGACTTTAACACACACATACACACATTTACTCCTACAAATGTCCATCCACAACCTTGCCCACGCTCCTGAAAAGAGAAAACAAATGTAGCTGCTTGGGCGAATCCTATGACACATCCAGACCACCCACATCTCAGAGAAAGCTTCAACAGAAAATAAAAGATAAAAAAATTTGAATCAAACATTTTGAAACAAACGGCATTTACATAATCTATTTCCCTCCTTTCTTTTCAGTGTCTGACCTACTGTTTCTTTAATCTTCCACGACCAGTCCTCCACCCATGAGACAAAAAGCAGGCATTCATTCAGGTCCCAGCATGCCCTGCCCCTGACCTGACCAAACATGGCTGGTGCAGCCTGAAAAGGATACCTTATTCAACTTGCCCAAATGTTCTTGATCTTTTTTTTCTTTTTTTTTTTTTTACCATTTTCCCTGATTCCTCTGAATTATCCATCCCCTTTAAAAAAAGAATTCACAGAGGTTTAGCATTTAGACACATTAGTCTACCATTTATTTTCACAATCAGAGCCAGCCTGATGTGTAACAACTTTAGGTAAAGCTGCTTAGGAACAGGCAGGCCAATAAGACCCTCCAATCTTAAAAAAATCAGATTTGGAGTTATAAATCAAGAATGAACCAATTTTGTTCTAAATGTTCCTAAAATTCAGATTAGTGTTATTTAAATCATTGTGAATTGCTAATTAAAGTGTATCTAGGATTAAAAAACACATACATGGCAGTTGGAAGCCTCTTTCTCACTGTCCCTCGGGATCCCTCTCACCAGAGCTGCACCATGTTTAGCGACTGTAAGCAGAGTTGTTTCGGCTTGTTAGATCAAACATGGCTAGTGCAAATACTTTGCTTTCAATAGTGTCACATTATTTAGTGGATCAACCCTGGTCTGTTGTTCCTACTGCATGCCGATCAGAGCCGAGGCGATTTTAACTTGGGTCGCTTGCCGAGTCGTTTGACCTGGGTAGACACGCGTCAGTGAGCTGTTCCCACTGCCACTGTACTCGCTGCCACTAAATACCGATTGTTCCCTGGTTTTTCAGCCGGTTGGAAAGTGGTGATACAGTAGAACATGCAAATACACTAATCAGGCTTTTGATGTAGTGACAATTTCTGATTTTCTTAAAAAGATCTGGTATTGTCATTTGTAATGGCATTTTTTTTTAAATACGTAGACTTAGACTGGAATCCAACAAAACACCCTTTTTACCCCTTTACATTTTTTCAAAATTTTTTATGTTTATAAAAACCGTAAATATGCATCAAAGGTCATGCTTTGTTATGCATTTAAAAACGGAATACGGTAAGAATTTTTAGCTTTGACGGATATAATAAAAAGGAGAAGATAAATTAGATATTTCTTTTTTTTTGACACAAAGACCCCCAACCAGACACAATTAAATGTATAGAGGACAATCTTTTATTTCCGGGTGCATCATCAAAATAAGTGGTCCTCCTAATTGTTAATCATTCTGGTGATACGTTTTCATAAGGCGATACTATGTGCTCGTCCTGTTAGCTATCTTTTTCTGTGCATGCACACTTTCAGGCGTATATGTGTGGTTAGCTATGGTTTTAGCCAGTTATTGAAACACTCCTTTCTCACTGCAGTTCTTTAAAAATGGCCGAGGTTTATAAGAGAAAAGGTGTCTACGAAGTGTATAAGAAGAAAACAAAGGCCTCAGAAGAGGCAGATATATCCCGGAATGCTTTGCGGGGCGAGCTCTTCGTGCAAAGCATTATGGGATATGCTATCACAGCGGACCGCTTTCTACATACAGTTGGCTGTCGCTAACTAATAACAAAGATGGTTCAGGCACTGTGCAATGGAGGAGGAGTTACATGACCAACCGGGAGTAAAAAGTAGTGATCATCTGTACGAAAGGTAAGTTAACTGAGTTTGCTATAGACCACTATATAGTCCAATATAGTGATTGAGGGATTTAGGGGTTAGGATGGATGTTCGGACACAGTAAGCTTGTATGAGCTATGAGAACAGCAACTTTTAAACACAGCATACACAAGGAGAAATGGGTTTGTGCATGCTCTCGCATGGATGCAGGGTTGTGATTGCGGGTCTTTTAAAAAATTTGCGAAAATCCTCCACAATACCGTTGAGGGAATGTACAAATACATTAGAAATACATACATCAAACCTCTGTCTAATTGAGCGTTTGACCATAAATAAAAATACTGTACTTCTTATTTGATGGGTATGTTGACAGTTATTCCCAAGTATTATGACATACACCATATTTTATGGTGTATGTCATATACACCATATTTTATGGTGTATGTCAGTGCAGGAGACGTTGTATGTACGTATTATTGTCAGTGGTTTCTTGTAACCAATTCGTTTTTTAGAGTCAAATAACCCTGGCTAATTAATCTTGTATAATCCTTACAGACTAAACTAAGCTTTCTTTAAGACCCTATGCACTGTGAGTGAATGGCTATGTATGTATTTACAGCTTTTTGTACAATAAGCAGTATGAAGTGACTGAAATGGCAAACCCAAAACCCAAAATCCTGTTACATAGTCCCTTAAGTTTTGCTTCACTAAAGCAGCACACAGGTTCTTTAAAGCATCCGAGACAGCAACAACAACAACAGCAAATCTTGGGCAAGCTCTGACCACAACAGTAGCTATTAAACAACACCTGCTACATGAGAACCTTTGTAAAATACCCATTTCAAAGGTTAAACACTGATGCCAGCTCTGATAAAACATTATTGTTTCCTCTTTGTCTGAAAGTAAAACAGCAGACATGGAGAAATTGTGTTTATATTTTAGATAAATCTCTTTTTACCCCCTAAAGGCTCTGTGATATCTGCTCATCTGGCCCGCAGCACCACGCTGCCAAACTCTGAGCAAACACATGACTCAAATTCGTCTAAGTCTTGCCGCAAGGAGGCAATAAAACAGAAAAAGATCCTTTTGTCAACATCAGAATTCAATTTTAGGGCTGCATCTAAGCCTGCAAGAAAATCATCAGTCGTCACATTAAAAATGTTTTTCCTTTTTTTTTCTTCTGTAGCTCATTATCAACCTCTAAATCTCATTTAGTTTGCAGGGGGAAAAAAACAACCCAAAAACAAGATGCTTTGCTTCACCTGAGAAAAAAGAATGTGTTAAATATGACTGCTACTGCATCAGTATTACGCTGCAGATACACATACACATACAAGGCTATTTTTGGCAACAGGACAGTGATGTAAACAGTTAACAATAAATGAGCTGATCAGTGTAAGATGATCAGTGTCAGAGGTAGAGGTTCTAATCTTCACAGACATAGCCATTTTACATTGCTATTGATCTTTGTAGTGAGGAACACAGCATGACATCGATCTTCACACTGAAGGGATAAAAATCTCTGTGTTCATCAGGGGCCTAACACACACTTACAAATACATCTAATGTCTAAAATGTGTGCATTTAACTGTGCATGTAGAAACAAACAAAATAGGTACACAAACTGTGTCAAAGATTTATTAATCAATGTGGAAGGACACAAATTGACTTTTTTATTCAGCTTGCCTGCTTCCTGTCTACCTCTCTGTCTCTTTATCTGAATATAGATAAAAAAGGCTGCAGGGTATCACTGTCAGTCCTGTAGTGACATGGATGGGAAAACTAGTACATGAGGCAATTCATATTTAGAAACATTCCACTTTTGGTTCATTCATCAAGCTGGGGCAGCAAACGGAAAAGGCATTTTACATACTATTTAATCATTTTAAGGAATTTTACTGATTAATAATTTGCCATGCATGTAGTAATTATGTATAGAAATGCATGCATTTTATATTGGAGTAAACTTATGGGAATGAATGATGTTGGTGCCGGTAGACGCAGAGTGATGCAACACCTGTGGATCAAGGTGAATGAATGGCCAGTAAAGAGGACTCCTGTATCTGCTTTAAAAGCATACTAGAGGCATTTCACATTATATGTGCTAAAGGTGTTAAAACACAGCAGCAGCAGCAGCAGCAGCAGAAGCAGCAGCAGCAGCACAGTCAGTCCTCCTGTCCTTCTGCAGGACAGGGCAGAGCAGACAGAGGCTGCGCCTCCATCCTCCATGTAAGCCGAACATGTCCGATCTGCAGCTGCGAGCATCATCTATGACATCACCCCAAACTCACCAAAGTTTGCTGATACTGGAGAGTCCGTTCTTCTGCTTTGCCTTTCACCATTGCAGCAATTTCCTCATTAAGAGGCCCAAAATCCGTCTCCAGCTAATTAATCTTCAGAGGAGGAAGAGAGAGAGTGGTGGCAGCGCGGCTCGCTGCCATCCCATGAGCGGTGTGTGTGTAACAGGTTAGTTATAACCGGGCTGTCTGCATGTTGCAGAGGACTGCTGCCACGGTTTGAGAGACAGATGAGAGATACAGCCGCCTTGCTGCCTCACAGCAGCGATGCGGTTTAACTGCGAAATACCGCCTCTCCCCCTCCTCCCTGCCTCACTCCCTCCACTGTTCTCTCTCTCTTTCTTTCTGGACCTGCTGTTAGTGGACCTGAGGATGCACAGGTAGCATCCAGGTGTCGTACGTCGGTCCCTAAACATAATATTTTACAGTTGTATTTCTGATCTATACAGCTCTTTTGCTCCTTATTTTACTCACCTCTTGGTTGATAGAAACATTAAGTTGTAAAGGTTGTGGCTTACCTGCAAGTAGGAGGTCAGAAAGAATAAATATGTCTTAGTCTGAGATCTAGATTTATATTTATTTCCATTCAACCAATGCGTGTATATATTACAAAAACGCATTAAAAACGTAATATCCTGGAATGTTTCCTTTAGATTTAAAAATATCTACACAGTAGAGAGCTAAGAAAAGACTACACAGTAGTTGACTTGGATTATATGACTTGTACTGCAGAGATGTACTGACCTTAGAAATAAGTAAAAAATTACACAGGCTACATAGTAGTTGGCAAGTGTAATTGCACAGGGGGAAAGAATATTGGACAAGAGTGACAATAGGTAATGTTTTGCACAAGATGTCCAAGGAGGGAAGGTGTTGACTTTTGTCCCTCTTCCTATCACCTCCTCCTTCAAGAACAATAACAGAATAATAATTTGTGAAAAACAGTCACCTTTGAGACAGGAAACCTCAGATGAACAGATGCAGGAAAAAAGACAGATAAACTGATTTTTTGACTAATACTTTTCTTTTTTTTCTTGTATGGGCATTGACCAATACATGCATATGTTCACCAATTTATCAGTGCATTCAGCAGCCATTTCTTAAGATCACGTGAACTGCATGCATTGATGTTCCCGCCATTTAATGGTGGCGTTTTGTTTGATTTATCAATAAATGTTTCTTTTTAGTTTAAATTGAGACATTTAATATTTTTATCATTGTGTCATTTATATCATGCAAATGGAGGTTAAAAAAGAAATACCAGCTTCAAGGATTGACCCAAATATATCGGCACCACGTATCGGAGATCGGTCAGAATAAAGTCAAAATAAACAGTTTTGGCATTGGCCTATTAGAAAAACCTGTATCAGTCAAAATCTTTAATAGAGGCATATGCTCTTTCAAGTATACAAATTGGCTAACATTGCTAAATACAATGGGGTAAAGTTTTAATAGCAGAATAGTGCTCTTTTTGTAAAGGAAATCATGAAAAGCAAAAAGTGTCATTTATACAGTTGAACGGGCCCTTTAAAATGGCCTGTAGTTATATAGTGCTTTTTTTTCAAGTCAGGAGACTTGACCAAAGCTTTTTACACTGCATTCAGTCATTCACAAACTGGTGGCAAGCTACATTGTAGCCACAGCTGCCCTGGGGCTCACTGACAGAAGCGAGGCTGCCGTACACACACCCTCTGACCACCATCAGTAGACAATGCAGGTGAAGTGTCTTGCTCAAGGGCACATCGACACTGAAAGTCAGAGCCGGGGCTTGAACCGTCAATCCTTTGATTTCAGGGCAAACTCCTACATCCGACACCACTGTCGCCCTGATGGTACTGAAGTGGCCGAATATAAAGATCAGTTTGACACCCCTGCTTGACTTGGTTGCTGGGTTTTTTACATGGCTTCTGGAATATCACAAGGTGATTTTATTTGGATAACCTTTGTCATTCTTCTTTTCACTGGTGTACAACTAATAGTTGTCCTGTCAACTAATACCCCTAAGAAGAGTAAGCACTGGTGTTTCTCAATAAATGTTGGAATATTATTGTTTTATTCTTAACCAAACCCTGAATTAAAATTTTCCACACCATTCCTGACTTTGCTGTGTAAGATGTACTTCATGGTGCTGATGGTTCAGTTATGTTCCCTAACACATTCCCTGTGGTCTTCTTTACATCAGTCTTGTGACTTGTGGCTGCTCACACTGAGCTTGGTTCTGTTTGAGGTTTCTTCCTGTTAAAGTGAGTTTTCCTCTCCACTGTTACTACAAGCATGCTTGGTGTGAGGGAATGCAGAACAGTCAATAAGTCGATGCAATCAGTTGGTTTTCCTTAGAACATTTTGAACCAATCTGACTATATCTGTAAAGTGCCTTGGATGAAATGTGTTGTGAACTGGCGCTATATAAATAAACTGAAATGAAATGAAAAGTTTCATAACTGAAGTGACTGGCTTCTTATAAATGCCAAACGTTTCAGTTTTGTATAGGTGGATTTCAGCGCTGGCTTCAATACAATCATCCCAGCTCTTCTCTCCCAGCTGAGTGTGCCTGACTTCACCTGCAGGTGGATTACAGACTTCCTGTCTGACAGGAAGCAGCATGTGAAGCTGGTAAAACATGTCTCCGACTAACAGTTTGTCAGCACTGGTTCCCCTCAGGGCTGTGGGCTTTCTCCTCTGCTCTTTTCCCTGTACACCAACAGCTGCATCTCCATTAGTCTGTCAAGCTTCTTAAGTTCCCGGACGACACCACTCTCATCTGACTTATCTCTGATAGTGAAGAGTCTGCCTACAGGTGAGAGGTTGACCATCTGGCAACCTGGTGCAGGGTGAACAACCTGGAGCGCAGCGCTCTAAAATCAGTGGAGATGTTTGTGTACTTTAGGAAGAACTCAGCCCCAGCTATCCCCATCACCCTCTGTGACTCCACAATTTACACCGTGGAGCGTTTCCGCTACTTGGGAACTATCATCCCACAGGACCTAAATTGGGAACTTATCATCAACTCCCTCACCAAGAAAGCCCAGCACAGGATGTACTTCCTGCAGTAGCTGAAAAAAATTAAACCTGCCAAGGACAATGATGGCGCACTTCTACTTCTCCATCATTGAGTCCATCCTCACCTCCTCCATCATCATCTGGTGCCACCGCCAAGGACAAGGGCAGACTGCAGCATGTCATCCGGTCTGCAGAGAAGGTGATTGGCTGCAATCTTCCATCTCTCCAGGATCTGTGCGCCTCCAGGACTCTGAGGCATGCAGTAAAGATTGTGGCTGATCCCTCGCACCCCAGCCAAAAACTATCTCAGACTATTCATTCTGGCAGGAGGCTGCAGTCCATCAGGACCAAAACCTCATGCTACAAGCAGAGTTTTTTTTCCCATCTGATACCAACCTTATCAACAAGGCCCAGACATCCCAATGACACTGCCACTACAGTACCTCTCTCCCACCCCTATTCAGTACCTACAAGCTACACCAACGTAGCATCTCCAGACATTCTGTGCTACATTAACGCACAGTCTGCAGTGTGTATAGTATATAGCTAAGTAGTATACATTGTATATAGTATATTGTATGTTTTATATTGTATATCTATTTTTTTTCTGCAACATCAACACCAAGTAAAATTCCTGGCAAGCAAACATACTTGGTAATAAACTTGATTCTGATTCAATTAGTATAAAACACTGAAAAAAACATCTATCATTATGTATTACTACTTTGTGTTGGTCTATTATGTAAAATTAAAATATTACACAGTGAGGGTTGGGGTTGTAATTTGACAAAATGTGAATGTACCTTTGCAAAGCACTGCTTGTATAAATATTGACACTTGTAAAGAAAATTAAATAAACTTATGCTCTTATTTAATGTTAAACCGATAAAACACAAAGACAAAACATGGAATATTATGAAAAAAGAGACATAGACATTACAAACCCTCACAGAACAGAGTTGTTTTCAGATCAAAAAGTAGAAATCTAAAGGGAAAAAGAAAAGGAATTGTGTCTAATAGAAAAAATGTCTAGAAACAACACAGGGCGTTCATAACATACAACTATAAATCCTCTAAGCTGATATTAGAACAGGTTCAAAGTTGAATTAATTTATTTTCTGAAACAACTGCAGGTTTTGCAGCATTAACAGCAACTAAACATAATAGATAAAAATACATAAAAATCTTTGTATTTGACACCATAAAAAAACAGACATATTGAGAGACTGTCTGCTCACTGAAATCTCCTTAAGAAGAGTTTATGTTGCTTTTAACTTGTCAGAAACAGTTTTTTTTATGCATTAAGGGTGTATGCAGGCCTGCTGAAATCCTTTTCAGAAACCGTCTCACACGAAGACACTGACCTTTTAACTCAGTTCCCCTTTTCCATATGTTTTTTTTATGTGAGTTTTCACCAATGAGAGTCCCATATTATCAGGGATATCTGCTGCAGTTAAATGTGTAATAACTAGAGTACCTCAACCCTGAAAAATAAAAGGTTTGAAGGGCAGGCTGCCTCTTTGTTGGAGCCCTGAATCCTCCAGGTTTAGTAGTATGTGTGCACTGAGCTCAAAGACCCTCTAGGTTACGATCTCCTAAGGATTTAAAGGTAGAAACAAAGTTAACCAGTCATGCTCCTTGCACTGACGCAGCTTTGTTTTATCATATTTAAACAATGAGTTTACCAATGTAACTGTATGCTGCTTGCTAAAATGTATACTCTCTGATCCCTTAACAGATAGAAGATTATATTTCTTGAAGAGCAAAGTTTACCTTTAGGTAAGTATGTTAATCAGTTTTTCATAATAGGTAACTGCTGATTGGCTCTTGGAAAGGCAACAGTGGACAGAGAGACTTGAACGCTAGAAGATAGCAAGAGCTGAGAAACTGCATAGAATTGACAATTACACAATCAGAAATTCCATTGTTAATGCACTTTATCTGCATGGGCCTAAAGCTAAAGCCTTCATTCTCAAACTAAGGTTAATGAGCTTCATTAACTTGGTTAAAGTTGTGATGAGGTGTCTTTAAAACTACCTTTTCCATTCAAACAATATGAAATTCTGTCTTGTTATTGCACAGCCCTACCTCAACTATACCCTGTGACTTTTAAGTTGACACCATGCAGTGCCTCCATTTCCTTGGTACAATAATCTCTAATTATCTAAAATTGAAGCTTGACATCTCCTCCTTCACCAAGAAGGAACAGCAGATGATGTACTCCCAAGTTCTGCCTGCCAAAGACATAG